TTCAGCCCTCTACATCACACGCTGTTGACCTGGGACGCTTGCAAGGACGCAGGACGAGGAGTAGTTTGGTCCACAGAAGATACTGCACGTCTCCAGATGTGGAACGCAGAATATATCAGACAGCAACAGTCTACAGCACAGAGACACTGAGGTTCTCCTACAATTTAAAGTTCATCTGAAAGCGAGGGGCGTCATAACCACACTGCAGGGACATGTCAAAGTAAAAGCAAAACTATGTCAATGTATATACATAGGCTATAGTGTGAACAGGAAGAGAACCGAGGCCCCATCAGAGCTGAAGTGGACCAGAAAGAGAACTGAGTCCTCTTTAAAATGAGCTGACAATGTGAACATAAAAAGAGCTGAGTCCCTTTTCTGTTGGCCCACTTGTTGGTGCACTTTAAGAGTTCGGTTTGTTTAAAGAGGACTAAATGTGAAAACACCCTTAAACCGGTAAAAACACTGAATAAAGCAGTTTAACATCACACATCAGTGTTTCTCCTACACTGATTGGCACGTAGGAGACAGGACGTTAGCTTAGCGCCTGCTATTGTCTGCTCACCTTATTTGTGTTTCAGATGTTCAGGAGGTTTTTACAGAGAGCTGAATTATCTGCAGAGGTCCATGTGTGTTTTCTGGCATGTTGGTATGGATATAGATTATCTGAGGCAGTGCTAGAACACTTGTGTGTGCGCAGATCGTTTTCATCTTAAGACAGTTTTAAAATCAAAATGTTTTAGTCTCATCACGTGACCCTTTGTGAGGGTCTGAACTGCTGCTGTGATTGGCTCGTTGTTTCACCGCCAGTGTTGCGATGCTCAGTGTGGATTTTTCCTTTAATGAAGAAAGTTTTCTCTGCATCCACAAAACCGTTAATGGTGTGACATTTCCATGCTCAGTCAGGATGTGAAAATACCACCAGCCACATGCTGCTGTCATGTTTGTCTCTCCTCCTGACGTCTGATTGGCTGGGAGCGGCTGCTGAATTTTGGACTGAAGAGTCTACAAACATGTGACGTTCAGAAACACTAGAAGGGTTAGAAAAGTGTGAGGAAGACAAGACGAGAGCAGCCAGGAAGGGTTCAGGGAGGCGCTGACAGGTCACCTACCGTCCAGAGGGTTGGTAAGGCCACTGCTGCTCCAGTCGAACTGGATGGGTGGGAGCGCCTCCTGCTGGAGGAGCAAGAGAGGAGGTCAATATGTGCCAGCCAGTTTATACACACACATTTACTACTAACAAGTACAGTATGTATCTACAGTCTGATATATCTTCTTCGTCTGTGCAGTAAAGCTTCACTGTTGTTCAAAACAAATCACTGTGTCACTGTTCCTTCACCACCATGAACACACACACTGTGATTTATCCAGACTCAATCCAACACACACACCGTCCTGCTGCCACAAACACTCACTAGAGAGCCAAATGTGGATTAATCCACCGCTGAAAATAGTCCCCAACAAGTGCAATACTTTGTCCTGTGTTTAAAAAAACTAAACTGAGCAGCTGTTTTAAGAAGTTACTGTTGAAACTATTAATTTGTGTGTTTACAGATTTATATTTTCAGTAGGAACCAATGTGCTCACAGATGAGACATCTCAACCCCACTTCTTTTGATGGATTTTTTTTAAATAAATAAATAAATGAAGAACAGAGCAAAGGGTCAATCATTTTCCATAAATATTTCTAAAAATTTTCCAAAGAAAGTTAAATTTTGTGAAACCTGCATTTTGAAATTTTGCACAATTTCAATATAAAAATCATTTTTTTTACCATTTATTTTACTTACTTGGGGGGAAAATACAAAAAAAACATCAATACAAGGTCTTATGGCATGTTGTGGTTAAGTGTATGCCCACTTAACTGAACTGTAACCACGTTACCTGTTACCTTTTTTTGCTAGGTAACTCATCATATGGCACATTTCAAATTGTATGTATTTGACAACTGAATAGATTTATTTGGCAAATGAAAGGGTTATGTCTGCTGCTAATATGTTAACAGGTTTGTTTCTATCTGCAAATTTAAGCCTGAGCGAATAAACCCTATATTTCCATTTTATTCTGTGTATGCGGATCGAGAAGCAGGTGGAATGAAAATACATTCTTCCTATTATTGCAGCCTATTGCTGCACAAAGCTTGGGCATTTTTTATTTATTACTAGTGGTAAATAACTGTTTGTAAACTAACTGTGATTTTACCGCCTGTTTATCAAGATCACAAGATCTCGCGAGAACTTGTTTTCTGAGACGGACAGGGCTCAAACAAAGTTAACTTTCTCTTGATCTGTGCAGATGAAAAATGCAGCTTTAGTGTCAGGATGTTGGGAAGATGTGTGGCTTGTAGAAAATGAACCCAATATTTACTTTAGTGACTACAGGGTGAAAGAATTGACCATATAAACTGTGATCACGTACATTCCTCATTGACGACAATACATTCAGAGCTGCCGCAAGTCTCCTACAGGGGCGTGGCGCTGACGTCACTGAATCAGGAAGTGAGCTGAGTGGGGTATCTCACTTTATCCAATATCTCTGATTATGGCCAAAATGATAATCAAGATCAAGAGGGTTCCTGGTTTGAACCCAGGGTGGGGGAGCCCTTCTGTGTGGCGTTTGCATGTTCTCCCTGTGTCAGCGTGGGTTTCCTCCAGGTGCTCCAGCTTCCTCCCACAGTCCAAAGACATGCAGGTTAATTGGTGACTCTAAATTGTCCGTAGGTGTGAATGTGAGAGTGACTCACATTGGTCATTTCAGTCCGTCTTTGAGAGCTGGATGGATAAGTATCCACAGCTGTACTTTATTTATTTTTTTTTTTTTTGGTTACCGTGGTCACTGTACTGTGACACACTGCACAGCAGCGCTGTTAAAGATGTCTGAGTTGACGGTGGAAAAGAACGTGGATTCAATAAGGTAACATCAGCAATGTTATCCTTGTTGGCCTTCATGCATTCATCGTACTGGTTTAAATAGTTAGTTGTGCTGCTTTGCGGTGCAGACACAAGCCCAATGCACTCCTTGCAAAGAATTTGATCTCCCTTAATTTCTCCTTAAAACAATTTGGGAGGAACCCTGCTGCCAAGGCACTGACAGAGCTTCATAGTGTAAATGGTTTGTAAGGCCGGGGATGACTTAACCTCCTTCTTCAGTAGCTTCCACTTTAGTGGGAAATTATTAAAAAAAACTACACATGTAATGAAAGTGAGTGGTAGACTGATCGAATGTGGAAAAACTGAGACACACTGTTGAGTTTGCAGATATTTTTCTGAGGATATCGCAGGCTGTTCATCTGTTTTGTAAATGGATGAACACTTTCAGAGTGGACTTCCTTACAGGAAAAAAGGGGGAAAATTGAAAGTTATTATGCAGTGGTTTTATTGGTGCGGCCCACTTGAGATCAAACTGGGCCCTGAACTAAAATGAGTTGACACCACTGGTTAAGGCAGCTCTTGATTAAATGAGTAGCTGAGTTTTCTATGGGCGGAGCACACATTTTAAAAGCCAATATCGCAGCTGATCATTTTCGTTCAATTGTAGAAGCCAAACTTGTGATATTCGATTAATTGTGCAGCCCTAACTTTCAGTGTGTTTCAGTGTTTTGGTGTCCTCATGCAGACGCTCTGAGGTCCCACCTGGACTGTGTCTGAAGGACAGGAGCTTTTCTCTGGAGCCACTGGAGGCGCCTGGGCTATCGAAGCGATCATCTCTGCTGCAGAGACGGGCTTCACAGGCTCTTTGGTTGGTTCCAGCATCCCCTACAGACGACACACACGCACAACAACATGTTTCAAACACGTCAGGCCGAGTGCTTTCATTGGATGAAATGATAAAGAATATGTGGACCTTGGTTTTAATTAAAAACTGAAACAAGCAGAAACTAGATGCTGTATCTGCCATGATGTGGCGAGTTAACTTTACAGTGACCTCAGGGTCGTTTCAACACACAGTGAGAAGCTTGTTTATCAGATCAAAATGCTTTTATACGTGTGTATAAGTTTGTATTTGTGCAGTTTCCTTGTGAAAAGCCGGATCCAGAGGTTTGTGTCTGGTCTGCTGTACAGCTTGTTTTTTTTATTTCATTTATTTATTATCCTGCCTTCAGGAAGCTGCTGTCAGATTCTTCCTCTGGTCCAAACAGCTGCAGGTCGGTTACAGAAATCTCACAGCTGTTTCATGTCTCATGTGAATGTGGTGCTTAAAAAAATGTGTTTGTGTTTTCAGACTGAGTCGTCTGATTTAGGCAGAACTGCAAACTTTCCTTAAAACAACCTCAGACTGCTGCTTCTGTTCAGCAAAAACCAAAAAGATACAGAGCTTATAATGACGTTGAATTAAAAAAGGTATAGATGATAATGCATTGATCATCTGAGAACAGTAAATAACGTGACTATTTCCAGTCAAGGCGAGTGACACTAACGACATTAATGATGCTTCAGTGTTGCTGAGAAGCCTCACTGTTTGTGGATACATGATTAACAGTAAACATATGAACATGTGAAGTGCTGAATGAAGGTTCATCCTGACTTGGTGAAGCGGGCAGACGACTCACCAGGCTGGCGGCGTACATGGGCACGATGACCGGCTGCTTCTTCTGTCCCGTGAACAGCTGCACACATTAAAGCAGCAGGTTAGAAACATCACACACAATCCTGCTGCAAAGGTCATGTAAAAAAAAAAACCCATGAGAGAAAGTTTGATGTTGCAGTCTGTGATGGCTGCCAGCAGAGGTTAATAAAGGTCACAAATTACTTGAAGCGTCATTAAATCATTTCTAAAAATACACTTTGTGCAGATCAGGAGGTTATCTGTGCAGAATAACTGTGCTCAAGCTCCGGCCTATTTAATACCAACGACTTGTGACGATCTTCAAGTGCACGCTCTGATGTTTTTACTTTTCTTTCCTTCCCATCTGTGACAATAATTATCCAGCTGGATCGGTGAGCTGTCGGGGGACTTACAATGTTCCGGGTGTCGATGCCCAGGCAGCAGAGTAGTGCTTTGTTGCAGTAGGAGCCCCCCCACTGGTATCTGAGGCCGAACGCCTCGTTGATGTCCTGAAGCTGTGTCCACACGCCGCCATGCACAGACCTGCACCGCCCAATGAGACGCAGCAGAGTCAAAGACAAGGTACTGACAGGTTTAAAGGATGAAGAGATAAACATTAATACAGTGGGTGACAAAAAGAGGAAGAGGACTATTAGTATAAACACAGAAAAGATTTAAAACATATTTTAAATCCTCTGCACTGTTTTTTAAAGCTGAATCATGTTAAGTGATACAGCCCAACATCATACATTTGACTTTAACAAACTCTTGGTAACTTTTATGACAATAACTTATTTATTTATTTGCTGAAACTCACTGTATTCTGAAAGTAAATGAGACAGTCTGATCAAAAAAATCACTGAATATATCACTCAGAGCGTTCACATGACATTACAGAAAATCAGTTTAATGCGTCAGTCTGACTAAACCAGACTTTTAAAATTAAATGTGTAAGAGAAGAAGAAGCCGGTAACAACATG